TCACAATAACCTTAAAGCCAATATGCCCACTTTTCAATAGAGGAGACATTTTCAGAGACGAAGTAGCTGGCCCAGTATCATGTAGTTAATAGTAGCAGAGCTGGAATTTAAAGCCAGTTTCCTCTAACACCACCAGATCCTAACATGCTCTTTTTGTTACACCATGCCTCCTTTCTATCACAAATCCATCTCAAGTCAACAAAGTTACTGAGTATCTACCAAAATGCCGGGTATAGCTGAGGTTTTAGTTTCCATTTCTTGAGCACCCTGACTCCAGACCTCTGTTTCCCCTTTTCAAATGTTCCCACTTCCAAATATCTGTCTTGTTCCCATTACCCTCATCCCCCATTCTAGACTTCTAGACATTCTACCCTCATCCCCCATTCTGCAACGTAGCAGTTATCTAGGTGGGCCATCAGGCAAGATTCACTCCTTTGCCAAGGAGCGAGGGCCAGTGCTTTGCCATCCATCACCTGCACAGTTATTCTCAATTTAATGGCAGATCCTTCTGTGCCATGGTTGAGCATCCCGCATCCCATCTTTGAAGAGGAAGCATTTGAACCCGGGAGGGGGCCTCTGAAAGGACACAGCTGGGTAAACAGACACTTCCAAGGCTGAGGGGTAGCTCCTCAGAGGGGATTTTTTAAGGATACGCATTAATCCCCTACTAGGTGAAAGGCCAAGTACTGGAGATACTACCAAGATATCATGAGAAAAAGAGTGGATGTGGTCCTGTTTATTTATGGAGATTATATTCCAGGGGGGGACACAAAACAACAACATACATAAAAATACATAAAATGATGCCCCACCGTAGCAAGAGTTCTAAGAACATGAACAAAGGGCTAAGAAGGACGTTGGTGGGAGGTCAAGATCACAGGTCAAATGAGGGAAAGGAAGGAGCATTGGCAATCTTGGGGAAGATGGAGAGGAAATGAGGAACAGTGAGAGCAGTGAAATGGAAAGGGGCCAAAGGCCTGTCTCCCCAGGATTAGGGCAGTGAGAACTGGTCCAGCTGCTGGTCTCAGCCCCTGGTCCTTCCTGGCCTTAACTCATCCTCCAGCTCTACCCCCGCCAACCCCCCACCCTCCCACCCCCGCCACAACCTTTCATTGGCTTAATGATTCACTCCCAACCTTTCCCTAGCTTCCTGCATGGCAAGGAGGGGGTAATACAGAGCCTTGGCTCTCTGAGGGTAGCAGGAACAGGGATGACATTGGTTGAGAAGGAATGATGAGCAGTCTAAGATTTCTGGTTCTTCTCTGTCCCATTCTGGTCTTGCCACACAGAAGGGTCTCTCTGTGCCAGGAGGACAGTGAAGATAACTAGGCCCAGCTGGAGGCCCTGATTCCAGATGTGGGAGGTAGTGGTGAAATAAGATCCTGACATCCCACTTCATTTCCCCTCCCCTGCCAAATGCCCTAGAGAAATTTTCCATCATAAACAAGTTATGCATTCCTGACCTTGGGTGCCCCCCCCCAAGCCATCTTCTCCCATCATCACCATCTCCCTCACCCCTGATTTATATCTGTGTGAGCCTGTATGTGGGCCATCCGCACATGTAAGTAGTTCATGTATTCATGCTAATCATTGTGTAGTGTACAGCTTGCCTTGGAATAAGGGTGTAAGTAGGTGCAGGCTCACTGCTTGGTTGTAAAAACAATGATGGCAGGTGCGGAAGGCACGTATGGGGAAGGGACATGTCTCTGTGGAGGTGTGTTTTATGCTGGTCAGGAATAAGTGTGGTAACACATGAGTTTAGACAGTAGTAATAGGTGTAAAATCAAGCCACATAGAGGCCCAGGAAGCGGTTGTATATACAGCAATAATGTATCAATTGAAGCCCAATCGTGGGAATGTCCCTGTTTGCATCCCACACATCGTTGGTTGAGAAATGCCATTAAGGTGTTCCTTGTTTGATGTGTGTGTAAGAATTGTCACAGCTGTTCTTAATATACTGTAAATTAAATTTTAAAAAGATACTGCAAATTTGTATGTGGGGTTTGAAAGAGTATATCCACGTCTCAAAGCTTGGGGTGACACAGCCAGGGGGTGAATACCATATGTGTGTGTATACTTCTGCATTTTCAGCCTTCGTTTAACAAGACTGTGGAGCAACTACTGCATGTAAGGCAGTATGCTGGGTTTTATGGAGGGCACAGACACATGTGTGACACAGCCTGTGGTGGAAGAGATCATATGTGTACTCTGTGTACACCAGACATAATATGATCTGGAGTAAAGACCTGAGCCAGATGCATTTCAAATCCCTAGAGTCAGCCTTGATGCCTTCATGCTCTCACAGTCAGCACCCCAAACTCTCCATGCTCTCTGATTCTTTTTTTTTTAAGATTTCATTTATTTATTTATTTATTTATTTATTTATTTATTTATTTATTTATTTATTTAATTTATTTATTTATGAGAGAGAGAGAGAGGCAGAAACACAGGCAGAGGGAGAAGTAGGTTCCATGCAGGGAGCCCGACCTTGGACTAAATTCCAGGTCTCCAGGATCACGCCCTGGACTGAAGGCGGCGCTAAACCACTGAGCCACCCGGGCTGCCCCATGCTCCCTGATTCTAATGATTCCCATCTCATTATTAAATCCCTGTGTCTTAGGCTAGGAAAGTTGCTTCCTGCCACTCCTCCTCTTGGCTCCCTCTGCCATGGCCCATCTCCCGCCCTTGTTACCATCCACCTGAACATTTCCTGTAGCCTCTGATCCCCTATTACAGTGTCTCCCCATGCAGGGCATACTTGTCATCCGATTTAGTTCCCAGCTTGAACTGCCTTCCTTTTATAATCTCTCATGATCCACGGAATCCAGGATCTAGTCTGGCCTCGCAGCTCAGCTCTCCACACTCTGCCCTCCTTTCCAGAATCATTACTTCCCACTACTCCTTTACAGGAAACTTACTGTAAGATTGTTTTTCTAGCAATTCCCCAAACACATCCTGTACTTTTCCAGTGCAGGGCTTTTGCTGATCCCATTCTCTTCCTCACAGTCATCTTCCACATTTGATTTTGTGGTATCCCACCCACTGTTCAAAGTCATCTCAAATGCCACTCTTCCATGAAGCCTCGCCTTATTGACTAGACAGACGTGAACATTCGTTGTTTTGGGTTCCTCCTCCTCCTTTGCACTTAGTGTTCAGTTGTCTTAAGACCCTCCAGAGAGGGACGCCTGGGTGGCTCAGTGGTTAAGCACGTCTGCCTTCAGCCCAGGGCGTGGTCCTGGAGAACCAGGATCGAGTCCTGCATCGGGCTCCCTGCATGGAGTCTGCTTCTGTCTCTGCCTCTCTCTTTCTGTGTCTCTCATGAATAAATAAATAAAATCTTTTTTTTTTTTTTTAAAGACCCTCCAGAGAGTTCTCCGGGTCCAGGGTCTGGGTCCCCTCTGCATGCATAGGGTGAGCCGCCTGCTGAATCTGGCTTGCCCTACTCACCAGCCCATACACTGAAACCAACCTCAGTACTTTCAAACCAACCTCAGTACTTTCAACAGGACCTTTACTGCCTGGCTCCAGTAAATGCTCAAAGGATGTTAAACTGTGTCCATGAGGAGCTGTCTCTAAGGCAGTTATGAAAATATGCAATTCTCTCTTAGTACCACTACCACACTTAAATAACATCTCACAGTTTAAAATGTTCTTTTCATATAAATTGTGTTAAATAACAAGGGACAAATCTGATGGCAAGGGACAAATCTGGGTGGCTGCTTACCTCTTGCCTTTGTTTTGTAGCACCTTCCCTACGTGAGCATTTCTGCACACATCTATGTGGGTAGTAGCTCTGTTGTGTTGCCCCTGTGAAGTCTCTGCCCCTTTGCTCTGTGTATGTGTGTACCCGCACGCACATGTTGTTATGTGCATGTTAAAGGGGAACAGACCAGGCCACCCCAAAATGTGCTGATGGCAATCAACACCCAGCACACAAGAAGAGCTTTTTACCTCTCCCTTAACTGCCTAAAAGAATTTAGATAGGGGCCAGCCCCGGTGGCGGTGGCGGTGGCACAGTGGTTTAGCCTGGGGTGTGATCCTGGAGACCTGGGATCGAGTCCCACATCGGGCTTCCTGCTTCTCCCTCCGCCTGTGTCTCTGCCTCTCTCTTCACTCTCTCTGAATGAATGAATAAATAAATCTTAAAAAAAACAATAATAATAATTTAGATAGGCACAGGAACCATGAAGACAGCTATTACCACAGATAACTTTTTATCAGGACAGAACAAACATCTGCCTCGGAGCATCTTCTCTTATCTTCCTGTGAATTGCCCTCCTCCCCTTTGAAGCCCCGGGCTCCTGTTCCATTCCTTAGCTCAAGATAGCGTGTAACCCCCAATTGCCTTATTGCCTTTGAATCTCATGGCTTCCCAGGCTCCCGAAGTATGTAATTAAGCCTGCTTTTCTCCTGTTACTCTATCTTGTATCAATTTAATTATTAGACCAGCCCAAGAAGCTAGAAGGAAACAAGGGACGTTCTTTTTGCCCCTACAACATGTGTGCTGAGGTCAGCAGCATGGTGTCTGCGTGTACTAATGTGTTCATTTCTCTGTCTTCTTGGCTATTTCTGTAACTCCTTTCCTCTTGAGGTGTGCGTGTGTGTGTTCTCTGTGTGTACCTACAAGTGTATAAATGTGCGTGTGTAACTGTAATTCCTTGACTTTGCTGGGTGGCTACCGTCCCAGCGTGGCCAGATTTGTCAGTCCTCCTGCCTCCCCAGAGATGGGGCCGGTGGCCCAGCCATCTCCTAAGCTATCCGGTGGTCCCTGCCCAGTTGCCGCATGCCCTGACATGTGCCTGCAGCCCGGGATCTCACCCACCCCACTCACAACCCCCACACTCCCAACAAACACACACTTGGGCGCCTAGGGGTGCACAGACCAAGTCTCCACCCCCTCTCTTTGCTTAACCGTCGGAATTTCCAGCTTGCTCGGGCCATCCCTCCCGGCGGCGGGAGGAGTCGAGGAGGACCCGCCCAGGTCTGAGGCGCCCTTAATTCGCTCCGCACCGGCGCGGGTCCGCACTGGCCTCCCGCTCCGCTCGCCGCGCGATGTGTCGCCCCCGCAGCTCCCTCCCCACCATGACCGTCCCGCGGGCTCCGACCTCCGTCTCGTCCACCAGCCCCGGACCCCGGCGGGGCTCTGGTCCCGAGATCTTCACCTTCGATCCTCTCCCGGAGCCTGCGGTGGCCCCTGCCGCGCGCCCCGGCGCGTCCCGCGGGCATCGGAAGCGCAGCCGTAGGGTCCTCTACCCGCGAGTGGTGAGTGCCGCGGGAGCCGGCGGCGGGCGGGGGCGGGGGCGGGGGCGGCCGACGCGGGGTCCCGCCAACCTGTCCCCTTGCTTGTCTCCCAGGTCCGGCGCCCGCTCCCGGCCGAGGATCCGAACCCCGCCAAAAGGCTCCTGTTCCTCCTGCTCGCCGTCATCTTCTGCCAGATTCTGCTGGCCGAGGAGGGCGTGCCGGCGCCCCTGGCCCGGGCGGACGTCCCCAGCGGCGCATCCCCTGCGCCCTCCCCGGCGCCCCCGGTCCTCGAGCCCCTCAACCTGACCTCTGCGCCCTCGGACTACGCTCTGGACCTTAGCACTTTCCTACAGCAACACCCGGCCGCCTTCTAACGCGAGCTCCCCACCTCCCCCCGAAAGAACCGGACAACCCAAGTAAACACCAGGTGTACCTGGTGCGCGAGAGCGTATCCCAAACTGGGACTTGCGAGGCAACTTGAGCCGAAAGCACGTCGGCAGGGACGCCAGCCCGCGCCGGAGACCAGCCGAGCCGAGCAGCGGCCCTCCGGGGCCAGGCCCGGCGCGGAAGAGCGTCATTAATTTATTTCTCACTGACCCTAATTAATATTTATACGTATTTATGAGTGTCCCCCGAGGTGATGGAGGGGTGTCTGTAATATTTATTTTAACTTATGCAGGGGAGCGCGATGTGCCCCCCGCTGTAAACGCAGAACTCTCGGTATTTGTTGAGCTTCGTGGGAGAGGTGGAGGCGGGCGCGTGGAGCTGAAGCCGACCCGGAGGGCCGGGGAGCGCCCGGGCGGAGTCGAGGACGCCGCTGGGACGTGGGCTTAGGGGCTGGTGTTCGTCCTCCGGGATCTGGGCTCCTTGCGTCTGCTGTGTGAGGCCTCGGCGGACCGCTGGGACGAGGTCCTCGGCCGCCGGTCTTCTCCAGTCGCCCCCAGTGCGTGGCTGGGGTGTCGAAGGCCGGCGGGCGGGCGGCGGGGGGCGGCTGCGCGCCGTCCAGTATGTTCCGTGAACACCAATAAAGTCGACTTCTTGTCAGTAGTCCTGAGTGTATTTTGCCAGCGGCGACTCCCCACGAGTCCCCGCCTCCCGGCGCCAGGTCCCGGGCAGGCGCTGCGCCCCGGGCGGCCGGATGCAGCCGGCGCGGATTCCCAGGTCGCGCGGGGCAACCCAGAAATGAGGCAACCTCGGGGCCCGGCGGCCAGGCCCGCGGAGGTCACGTCCCGCGTCCCGGGGCGGGGCTCCCGGCTGGGGGAGGGCCCAGGGCGGGCGCGGCCTGCCGGGAAAGGGGCGGGCGGGGCGGGCGGGGCGGGCGGGGGCGGCCGCCGGGGGAGGGGCGCGGGCGCGGGCGCGGGCTTGCGGCTGCCGCAGGGTGGGGCCGGGAGGGGCGCGGGCGCCTTCCGCGCTCCTGGAGGGCCGTTCCCGCGCCGATCCCCCGCCGATCCCGGCCGCTGCTCGCCGCGCGATCCGCCGCGCCCCGCGGCCTGCGTGCGGGGAGGCAGGTGGGGCGCCGAGAGGTAATCGGCCTGCGGAGGGCCAGGGAGGGCGGCGCGCGGTCTGGGGCCTCTAGGCGCGGGAGCGCTTTGTCCGAGGATCGAGAAACCGTCCTCCCTGAAGGCAGGAGGTGGCCGTGAGCCGGCGGGGGAGAGCCCTGGCGATCGGTGGGACTTCACCGGGAAATGCCTTAGTGGACCCATGGGTTCGGAAGGGGCCGGGCCCTGGTGGCTGGGGATGGGGCTAGACTGCCGGAAAGAGAATTTGCACTCCCCCGGACCCCGCCCGCAAAGGCTTTCTCTCCCTCTTCCCCCAGCTTCAGCCTGAGCCATGTTTTTCACCTGTGGCCCAAATGAGGCCATGGTGGTCTCTGGTAAGTAATGCTCTCTTCCCAGCCAGTGCCCCCAAGCCCTGTGGTCCGGCCTCTACCCCGTACCCTTCTCCCCACCAGCTCCCGGGGCCAGGCCTTCGGTCCACACACCACCCTCCCGCGACCTCCCCACGGCTGCAAGCCACCCCCTTGTGATTCCCAGCGCCACCTTCCAAGGCCTGGACTGCCTCCTCTTCGACTCCCAGATTTCCTTTTTGGGATTAACCCCCACCCCACGTTTTCAGTCTTCCCTTTTCTAGCCCTACTCCTGTCACTGCAGTCTGCTCCCTCCTCACCTTGCAGGTTTCTGCCGAAGCCCCCCAGTCATGGTGGCCGGAGGACGTGTCTTTGTCCTGCCCTGCATCCAGCAAATCCAGAGGTAGGTAGAAAAGAACCAGGAAGGGGAACCCCAGTTTTCTCTCTTTCCTGTTCTCCTCACTGTCCACTTCTTTTTCTCGTAGGATCTCTCTCAACACACTGACCCTCAATGTCAAGAGTGAAAAGGTTTACACTCGCCATGGGGTCCCCATCTCAGTCACTGGCATTGCCCAGGTGAGGCTTTCAGAGCCTTTTCCCCCAAAGTCCATTCCTTCATCCCCTTCTTTGTCCCCAGACATTAAGAATCTTCTGACCATGGCCTCCCCAACCTCTGGCCACAAAGAAATTTCTCTGCTAAGTTTCACCTTCTCCAGGGACTCCCAAGGCACTTAACTCTTCCATTCTCTTCCCGCTTGCTACTTGGCTTCAGGAGGCCTTCACCACACTTTCCCTATCCCTGCTCTGGTTACAGGTGAAAATCCAGGGGCAGAACAAGGAGATGTTGGCAGCTGCCTGCCAGATGTTCCTGGGCAAAACGGAGGCTGAGATTGCCCACATTGCACTGGAGACTCTGGAGGGCCACCAGAGGGCTATCATGGCCCACATGACTGTGGAGGTGGGCTTGAGGGCAGGGAAAGATCTGGGAGAGATGCCCTGAAGAACCCAGCTTGTCTGTGGGAAACAGTAGCCAGAAGACTGAGAGCTTCAGTTCCTCCTTCCTACCATTCTGTTACCCTAGGAAATCTATAAGGACAGGCAGAAGTTCTCAGAGCAAGTTTTCAAGGTGGCCTCCTCAGACCTGGTCAACATGGGCATCAGTGTGGTTAGCTACACCCTGAAGGACATTCATGATGATCAGGTAAACTTAGGTGGGGCTGATCCTCTCCAGTTCCCTGCTCCTATCTCTTAAGCCCTCCTGAGGATTCTGATTGCTGCTTCTCTTCCTCAGGACTATTTGCACTCCTTAGGGAAAGCTAGAACAGCTCAAGTCCAAAAAGATGCTCGCATTGGGGAAGCAGAAGCCAAAAGAGATGCTGGGATCCGGGTGAGCTGGATCCCATTTGAGGGCTCACTTGGTCACCATGGGCTTCTTGGGCATGCAGTGGGAGAGGGGATGGAAGGGGCACGACTGAGTGAGGACTCGGAGAGCGGGGTTGGCAGAGGAAAGAGATGAGGCCATGGGCAGGGGAGCCTGGTGAAGAGGTGGCTCTCTGCCTTGGGGCCTTCCTCTCCCTACTCTAACTTCCTCCCTGATCTCTGTGTGGACAGGAAGCCAAAGCTAAGCAAGAAAAGGTGTCTGCTCAGTACCTGAGTGAGATTGAGATGGCCAAGGCGCAGAGAGACTATGAGCTAAAGAAGGCTGCATATGACATCGAGGTCAACACCCGCCGAGCTCAGGCTGACCTGGCCTATCAGCTTCAGGTCAGACCTCTCACACTGGGCAGTTATTTCCTCTCAAGCCCTCCATTTTAGCCCTCCACACTTTCCCAAGCTCTAACTCTAATCCCTTTATTCTGGCTCTACATTTCTGACCCAACTTCTCCATATGAGGAAGATTTGAAAGACCTAAGCATTTCGGTTGAAAAGCAGAGGCCAAGAAGGAACATGGTCAGTAGGATGGGATTGTATATTTGGGCAGACTGGGCAAGGGCCCCTGGATGAGGAGGAAAGCAGAGCTAAGGTCCAGCTGGTGCTCTGTTCACCATGCTCTGCATTCCGGCATAGGTGAATGGTGCCGCATCCACCTAGGGGAAAGGACACCTTTTTCTGATTTCCCATGAGCTCACAGCAGTCATTTGGGGACTTGGAAATGGGGACTTGGGCTTTGAACCCTGCAAAGTAAGATATGGGCAGTTCTTGATATTGCGAGGAGGCATGGACAGTCCTCATTGTTTACAGATTCTGTATTTGAGAATTTGCCTACTCACTAAAATTTACTGGTAACCCCAGAAACAGTACTTGTGGCACCTTTGTGATCATTTGTGGCATGCACAGAGCATTGAAAAATCTGAGTTGCCTGATGTGCAGTTGAGGGTGAATGAGATGTTCTGCCTTCGTGTTGCAGTTCTCGTAAACAGTGTCAGTAGTGTAAACACTGTCATTTTCACCGTATAGTGACTGCTACATTTTTTTGCATTTTTGTACTCTTTGTTGGTGATTTTGCTGTTTAAAATGACCCCCAAGCATCCTGCTAAAGCATTAAGTGTTCCTAAGTGCAAAGAGGCTGTGATATGCCTTATAAAGAAATTACATGCTTCTTTCAGGCATGAGTTACAGTACTGTTGCCAATGACTTCATTGTTAAGGAATTAACCATGTATGTTGCATAAGGTATTTTTAATCAGAAACACATATAAAGCAAGGACATATACTGATCTGTTGACGAAATGTTGTGAACAGGGGCACATAGGAACCTAACCGTATATTTCCCCTAACAACAAAATAAGTGTTTGCTAATGCAGTATTTGTGGCTACTTTATGGAGCAGATCCACCATGAATAATGAGAATCAACTGTACGTTAAGACTTTTACCCAAAGGATAGCAATAGTGTGATATTTGTTTTTGCCAAGAGTTGGTATAGGCTGAAAGGATAATGAAGTACAAAGCATCTCTAGTTATGATGTTAAATGCCTGGTGGTTTGACAGGTCATTGAGTGTGGCATAGCACTTTTTCCTCAGTGTGGTCTGCCTTCCAAGAGCATCAGCATCATTGTGGAGCTTGTTAGATACAAAATCTGAAGCTCCAGTTCTGCTAACTTAATCAGAGTCTGCTTTTTTTTTTTTTTTTTTTTTTAAAGTAGGCTCCACGCCCAACATGGGGGTTGAATGCATGACCTAAGATCAAGAGTTGCGTGCTCTACCGACTGAGCCAGCCAGGTGCCCTTAGAATCTGTATTTTAACAAAATCTCTAGGGGATTCATGTACACATTGGAGTTTGAGAAGCATTAACATAGCAGAAATTAGCTTGTGTGGTCCTTAACCTAAATATGGCTTTCCTCCTCTGCAAATTAAAGGATTGGGCTGGTTTTGGCTCTGTTCCAGTTTTACCAGTTCTTTATTTTGTGCCAGACTTTGTGCTGGGTGCTTGGGAAATAAGGACTCATTCAACAAATAGCTATTAAGTGCTTACTATGTACCAGGCATTGTTTTATTTTTTTTTATAATAAATTTATTTTTTATTGGTGTTCAATTTGCCAACATACAAAATAACACCCAGTGCTCATCTCGTCAAGTGCCCCCCTCAGTGCCCGTCACCCATTCAGGCATTGTTTTAGAAGTGAGGATATAAGCATGAATGAAACAGAAAAGATTCCTGCCCTCATGGAGCTTACATTTTAACACAGGAAATAACTAATAAAGCAAGTAAATAACTTTCATAGGTTCTAATTATCTTGTGTAAGTGCTATGAAGGAAATATAGAGAGTGATTCAAAAAACAGTGGAGAGATACTATATTAGGTTGGGGCTGATCTAAGAAAGTTTCAGTGGGGAAGTGATTTATGAGATAAACTGGAAGATGAGAAGGAGCCAGCAATGTAGAGTTGTGGGCCAATAGCATTCTAGGCCATTGCTATTCAAATAGAATTTTCTGTGATGATGGAAATGCTGTAAATTTGTGCAGTGATGCTGAGTGCTTGAAATGTGGCTTGTGGAACTGTGGCTAGTGAAATGTGAGGAACAGAATTTTAAATTTTACTTATTTTAATTAATTTTAAATATAAATAGCCATATGTGGCTAGACAGAGGACCATCGTCTGCAAAGGCCCTGAGATACGAAAGAGGTTGATGTATCCCAAGAACAGAGAGGAGGATTCTGATCTGGTGGGGCTGGTATGCTGTGAGTGAGATGGCAAGGCAG